GCCATAAAAAATGTCCAAAATATTTAATCGAGGAAGGCGCAAAATTTGTCACGTAATAAAACAAGGTTGAATGTTTTGAAGAAAGAAGATCCTACTCACTGAAAAGCCGAAATACCGAATGAAGCTGATTTTGTGGTAAATGCCGAAAATCAGGAGGTACCGTTGTATGAAGTTTATACATAAAACGACTTTTATATAGGAAGTTTGTTATTGAAAACGGAACAAATCGGTTCACGCTTGGCATGTGCCAGATCCAGATATGGCTCCCATATAACGTTTTTTTTTTTTTTTTCTGAATTTAGGCATTTTTAATATTTAAAACACAATTCCATACCAACTCAGAATGTTCCACAAAATTTTATCGTAAAATATTTTTGATTTTTTTTTTCAGGGCTAGACCAGGATCCACTTACCCGATATACACAATATAAAAGTCGTTGAAAAGCTTATAAAAATATGGATTTGAATCGGTTCAGAAGGTATAGTCAAATTATCGATATTTTTTGGACCTGGATTTTTTATAAAACCCCCAAAAAGTGGGAAAAGAACCCAACTAAACAGAATAGATTCCAAATTATAGCTGACACTCTTACCATTCCAAAATCTGTGCTAAAAACTTTTCGGGGTCCAGAGACATAGGTCATTCCACTACAGAACAGAAAATTATTTTCCCATTTTTTAAGAAAATTACCTTCAAAATGTACATATTAAAAGTGGTAGCTATTTTTTTTATTTTTATACCCTACACCACAAGGTGGTAAGGGTATTATGTCTTTCAGCATTTGTTTGTAACAGGCAAAAGGAAACGAGATAGACCCATAGTTCCTTTTGATGATCTGCATAGAATCACATTCTGAGTCGATTTATGCATGTCCGTCCGTCCTTCCGTCTATCCATGTTTTTTTTTTGTAAACAAAATACAGTTCGCATTTATTACCCGATCCAGAAGAAATTTTGCACAAATCATTTGTTTGGCCCAAGGACGAACCCTATTGAAATTGGAGAGAATCGGTCAAAATTTAGATATAGCTCCCATATATATCTTCGTTCCATTTTCCCTTTTATTGTGCACCAAACGTATAATATCAGCCCGAATAGTATGGAATTTTACACATACAAATTAGGCCTGCAAATAAGTATGTCAAATTTGATCGAAATCGGTTCAGATATAGCCATGGCTCCCATATATATGTTTCATCCTATTTGTTATTTTTGTCCTCCGCAGCCGTAATATGCACTCGGTATCAACAATATTTGGGGAAATATATCAAATACAGCTAAGAAATACATTTGCTAAATTTTATAGAGATCGGTTCAGATTTGGATATAGCTCCCATATATAACTTGGTACGATTTACTTTTATTGTGCACAAAACGCCTAATAATTGTCCAAATGGGATGGAATTCGGCACTTATGACCGATTTGAGTCTAGAAGCTAGTATGTCAAATTTGTGAAGATCGGTTCAGATATAGCTATAGCTTCCATATATAATGTTCAGCCGATTTGTTATATTTGTTACCCACAGCCGTAATATGCACTCCGTAACAACAATATTAAGGGAAATATATCAAATACAGCTCGGAAATATCTTTGCCAAATTTTATCGAGATCGGTTCCGATTTGGATATAGCTCCTATATATATCTTTATCCAATTTCAAATTAATTGTGCACCAAATGGGCAATACAAGACCGAATTTAAAAGATACAAATGCTTCGGCATATTTAGTCCTTTGAACTTTAAATTATAATTACAATCATAGCGTGTATTTTTGAATTCTCCCATAAAAACTTGTAATTGTTATGCGGAGCTCTACTAAATTAGCAAAGTGGTGTAGGGTATCATAAAATCGGCCCGCCCGATTTTAAGACTTTCTTTACTGGTTTTAACAGCTTTTTGACAGATTAAACATAAGTTTAGAAATTTTATGAATAACTTTGGATTTTAATCGATGATTTAAATTGGGTCATGTGGGTCTACCGAACCTGATTTCAAGAATTATTTTATATTCCATTTCAATTCACAAAGATTTTCAGTGTAAGTCCGTGTTTCGGAGTGGCGCCCATTTACAGTTACATCCTGCTTAATTTTTTCCAGAGCTTATCTCTATATTTATATGGAGGCTATATCGGAATATATACTTATATTGAATATATCCTGTGGATCGTTATTGATAATTTGTTGTTAGTAGCGTTTCTTGATCATAAGAACTCTAGAAACCAAAATTTGATGAAATTAAATGGAAAATATAACTGAAGCGTAAAACATATTTGGAAGCGGGGTTTATGTCATTATAGGGGCTATACCAAAAAGTGGTCCGGCATGATCGATTTTTTCAACCAATGATTTTTAAAATATTCCTATGATCTCCATAGATTTTCAAAGCTCTATATTAAAATTTCCCAAATATATCTGAAATTATTGGAGAACCTTTATATATGTCGTATGTACTTTATTTGACATATATGATAATTTTTGGAAAATTTTCAAAAGTGCGTGATGTACCAGATAAAGTGGGCCGAAGTATTACACTTCATCTAATACTTATAAAAATATTGGAATATTCAAAATGTAAAGAAAATCGAACATATATTTCCAATATTAAACATTTTAACATTTTATGGGGGAGGTACCAAAAGGAGTGGTAAATTATTAGGTAAATTATTTTCTATGAAAATTTTGACCTCTTGTGGACCGATATTGCTTAACTTCGAACCCGATCTATGTTTGGCAATACTATAATAATGTGCAAAGTTTGGATCAAATCGGAAATACCCTTCGACAGTTATCGTGTGAGCCAGCCAGCCAGACAGACGGACACCCCGTAGATCGATTGATTGGTACTTTTTTGCCGTATCAAATGATGTATACCCTTTGTGGCTATACATATGTAATTTTTTAGACATAAACAACATTTTTATACACTCCACCATACATAGTATGGAGGATTCGTCATTCCGTTTGTAACTCGTCGAAAATCAGCGTAAAATTCTAAGACGATATAGCCCTTTCCGTCCGTCTGTTTTAATTACGCTACAGTAAAAACGAATAAAGATAGGAAGCTAAAATTTTTGCACAGATCTGTCTTTTGTCTGCAGGCAGGTCAAATTCGAAGATGGGCTATATCAGTATAGCCCCTATATATCGGTACCCCCGATATCCGGTATTTTCATTATTTTAGCCACATTTTTCAATGGAATTTTCTGAAATTCTACACAAGGAGTTGTTGTACTTTACCGCCTGGAAGAAAATTATATTTATATCGTATGTTCCCCCATATGTCGGCACCTTTCGATGTTAGGTATTTTGAAGATTTTAACAGAATTTTTAGTGGATTTTATTTTTTTGAAAATTTTCTTATTCGTTCCAAATGGTGGAGGGCCCGGTCGAACTTACTGCTTTTTTACTTGTCTTGTATTTCCCTTTAGAGACCATAAAATTTTGTATTATCAGAAATTCGAAAGATATCACCAAGTATCCTTAAACTTTCAAGGAATGGCCTTTACACCGGTGTCATAGGGATTTTCAGCTCATCCTTTGAAACATTTTCTCAAGAAAATGCAACAAGTCTGTTTTATTTCCCAGAGACATTTTTTCAAGTAAGTGCAACAAGTCTATTTTAGAAAAAAATTTCGGTTTTTCTTTAAATTTTTTTTTCAGGAGTAGGCATTATCTCTCAGTTCTGGGAAAATATTTATTTCTTGGGAGACGGTCCCGAAACTCGGATATTGGACCCGAAACCCAAAAAGTGACAATAATGGGATTATTTAAATAATCAAATTTTTGAAAACGTATTCTTTATATAACCCCCAAACCTCCGTATGGAGCTCATAAAATGTATACTTAATTATGGCAGACACCATAACCTTTTCAAAATACTACAATACAGGGTTGCCCATATTCGAAGGACCTTTTGGCCCTTTGGGCCCATTCCAATCGACGAGGCTTGTCCGCAGGCAACATTCTTTGCGTCAATTGAATTTTGTACGGGAACAAATGCAAATCAATGCGAATAATCCGTTGTAAAGTGAACCGAGCCATGCCCAACTGCTGAGAACGGCGTTTTTGGGATGTTCTTGGGGACCTCTCAACACTGGCTCGTACGGCAGCGATATTCTCGGCCAGTCGAAAATTTCTCGTATAAACGCTTAATGGTGTTCTTAGAAGGCGCACTTCTCACATTTTTTAATGTTTTAAAAGCACGTTGAGTTTTCACAATTGACTTCTTGTAAATTTCAACTATTTCAGAGCGCTCGCGTGGCGTGTATTGGTTCATGGTCAAAATCTGCTTGGACTGACGCTTGAAACGCGGTATGTCATTAAGCGATGTGACATCTCTGTCAAAAGTTATGGCGTTGCCAGGTGGGTCCGTCGAATATGGGCAACCCTGTATGCGTAGTCCGATAGTTTTTTCTTAACTAAATTGCCTTGATCTAAAATTCGAAAAAAATTCACTTAGTTCTTCTTTTTATTCTTTTAACGCCTTTATTTTTATAATTAATTTTAAATATTTATATTATACATGTATATATTTCAAATGTTTTCTTTTTTTTATATTATTACATTGTATATAGAATAGTAATAATATGATCGGAATATGGAATCGATATTCGCTACATAAAAATTATTGTTTTCAGGTTACATTGAAATCATTTATTTTAATTTAAATTTATTTTTTTTGTAATTTTTTTCATTTCATTTTGATTGAGAGACACATTGAAACACAGACTCGAGACGAAGAAGAATAAAAAACTAAAAATAATATATTTTGTATGAGGCGGAGGGGGCGGGGGGAAATCAATCAACAATTTACACAGACATTACAATGATACAATAAATATTTAGGAAAATAAAATACATTCAATAATAGCTGCCAAAAATGGTTAAATATTTTTATTCTATGAAGGAAATATAGGATTAGGTTAGGGAATTTTTATGGACATAGAAACATTTTTTTTTTGTTTTTTTTTTTTTTATAATTTACATAAATTTGAGCAAATTTTTCGGGACGTAATGTAAAATTCATAATTTCATACACAACACTTGGGAAGAATGCTACAGTGGGTTTTTGATTTAATTTTTTTAATTTGATTTTGCTACTTGAGTGGCTTAGTTTGCATCATTGTTTTTTTTTTTTCACTAACAGTTTCGCATTTGGTTGCTTCTTTGGTTTCTGTTTTTTTCGCAGGTTTTTGCTAATTTGTCTGCTATTTGGGAGGTTTATAGGTGTTGTTGTTGTCACACAGGTGTTATGTTGTTGTTTATTTATGGGAGCCGTAGCTTCTTCTCTGGGATCTGCACTAATCTAATAGTAACGTCCATTATCATAAACACCATGGGGAGCATATTTCCGGGCATCCAAACCATCCAAGGGACTACCACCACCGCCACTCAACTTGTTGAGCCAATTAGCACGTTGGGCCGACATGGTGTTGCCATTTGCCTCATTTGGTGGTCGCTGATCTTCGTTGCTGGACTCCAAAATCTGCAAAGAGGGAAAAGAGTTAACAAAATGGAAAGGGAATTAGTTTGAAATTCAATGTTGTGGTAATTTTTATGGACACCCTATATAGCTTTGTGGCAATGAGAACATATATAAAATGGAAAATGAAAATGGTTCATGAAAAAATATTCCCTAAAAATCCGCATTTGTTTATCAAAAGGTTTTTGAAAAAATATTCTTTAAAAATCCGCATTTATTGATCAGAATGTCCTTGAAGAAATATTCTTTAAAAATCCTTGAAAAAATACTTTTTAAAAAATCCACGTTAATTGATCAGGAGGTCCTTCAAAAAATATTCTTTAAAAAATATTCTTTAAAAATGCACGTTAATTGATCAGGAGGTCCTTGAAAAAATATTCTTTAAAAAATATTCTTTAAAAATGCACGTTAATTGATCAGGAGGTCCTTGAAAAAATATTCTTTATATTCTAAAATATTCTTTATATTCTTTAAAAAATCCACGTTTTTTGGTCTAATGGTCCTTGAAATAATATTCTTTAAAAAATCCACGTTTTTTGGTCTAATGGTCCTTGAAATAATATTCTTTAAAAAATCCACGTTTTTTGGTCTAATGGTCCTTGAAATAATATTCTTTAAAAAATCCACGTTTTTTGGTCTAATGGTCCTTGAAATAATATTCTTTAAAAAATCCACGTTTTTTGGTCTAATGGTCTTTGAAATAATATTCTTTAAAAAATCCACGTTTATTGGTCTGATGGTCCTTGAAAAAATATTCTTTAAAAAATCCACGTTTATTGGTCTGATGGTCCTTGAAAAAATATTCTTTAAAAATCCGATTTTATTGATTAAAGGTCCTTGAAAAATATTCTTTAAAAAATCCACGTTTTTTGGTCTAATAGCTCTTGAAAAATATTCTTTAAAAAATCCACGTTTATTGGTCTGATGGTCCTTGAAAAAATATTCTTTAAAAAATCCACGTTTTTTGGTCTAATAGCTCTTGAAAAATATTCTTTAAAAAATCCGCGTTTATTGGTCTGATGGTCCTTTGAAAACATATTCTTTAAAAAAATCCAAGTTTAGTGGTCTAATGGTCCTTGAAAAAATATTGTTTAAAAAAAAACACGTTTATTGGTCTGATAGTCCTTGAAAAAATATTCTTTAAAAAATCCACGTTTATTGTTCTGAAGATCCTTCAAAAATATTATTTAAAAAATCCACGTTTAATCGTCTGATGGTCCTTGAAAAAATATTCTTTAAAAAATCCACGTTTATTGTTCTGAAGGTCCTTCAAAAATATTATTTAAAAAATCCACGTTTATTGTTGGGATGGTCCTTGAAAAAATATTCTTTAAAAAATCCACGTTTATTGGTCTAATGGTCCTTGAAAAAATATATTTTAAAAAATCCACGTTTATTGGTCTAATGGTCCTTGAAAAATATTCTTTAAAAATCCACTTTTATTGGTGTGATGGTCCTTGAAAAATATTCTTTAAAAATCCACTTTTATTGGTGTGATGGTCCTTGAAAAATTATTTTTTAAAAAATCCACGTTTATTGGTCTAATGGTCCTTGAAAAATATTCTTTAAAAAATCCACGTTTATTGGTCTAATGGTCCTTGAAAAATATTCTATAAAAATCCACTTTTATTGGTGTGATGGTCCTTGAAAAATATTCTTTAAAAATCCACTTTTATTGGTGTGATGGTCCTTGAAAAATTATTTTTTAAAAAATCCACGTTTATTGGTCTAATTGTCCTTGAAAACACATTTTTTAAAAAATCCACGTTTACTGACGGTCCTTGAAAAAATATTCTTTAAAAAATCCACGTTTGTTGGTCTAATGGTCCTTGAAAAAATATTCTTTAAAAAATCCACGTTTATTGGTCTAATGGTCCTTGAAAAAATATTCTTTAAAAAATCCACGTTTGTTGGTCTAATGGTCCTTGAAAAAATATTCTTTAAAAAATCCACGTTTATTGGTCTAATGGTCCTTGAAAAAATATTCTTTAAAAAATCCACGTTTATTGGTCTAATGGTCCTTGAAAAAATATTCTTTAAAAAATCCACGTTTATTGGTCTAATGGTCCTTGAAAAGATATTCTTTAAAAAATCCGTTTATTGGTCTAATGGTCCTTGAAAAAATATTCTTTAAAAAATCCGTTTATTGGTCTAATGGTCCTTGAAAAAATATTCTTTAAAAAATCCACGTTTATTGGTCCTTGAAAAAATATTCTTTAAAAAATCCACGTTTATTGGTCTGAAGGTCCTTGAAAATATACTTTTAAGAAAAATATTTAATATTTAAATTTTATAAATTAAAGGACCATCATGTTCATATATTGGATTATAGGGTATACCACGATCTACTAAATAATTGTATTTAATTTTTTTTTGCCACAGGTGGTGTTAATCGCTAAAAGTGTTAATTAGCTACAAATTATAATGTGGGAAGATTTTTCTTCTGCAACAAAATTTTCATAATTCCAGTGCCAGTACACCAAATCCGAGGATGATCCAATGGCTGGTTGGATGGATGCACCGAACAGTCAGCCAACCAACCAACCAAACCTCCATCCCAAGCTGGCTTAGTTTCAATTTCAAATACATTTCGAAATGCCAGACAAATGTGTGTATGTTAATTAAGTTTTTTTTCCTACTTCTCCAACATTTTCGTGAAAATCTATTTTCATTTTCTTAAGCCACTTGACTGAGTGACTGACTGACTTGTTTGTTGTTGTTAACTTGGCTGCGTATTGTTTCACCTGATTTTTTTTGTGTCTACTTTGCTCTCGCCAACTTTAGGATTTGTGGATGGAAGTGAATTGTTTTATGTTGGGATGCCTGCTCGCATGTTGCAATTACTTTACAATTTGTGTTTTAGTTTTTTTTTTTTTTCATTTCATTCATAGACACTAAATATTTCACAGTTTTTGAAAATATACTATTTTTACCTGGCACACATGTAAGGGGAACATGTACCATGTGTGGCAAGCCCATCTTGAGGAAAGGGAGAGAAAAGAAGAAAAAAGTACCATAAAGTTATCTAAAAATGCCATGCTAAAAAAATATTAGGTTTACACACTTTCCTCTTCTTCTCCATTTTTTCTTTGAAGATATGAAAATCCCATCAAATCAGAGGCCTGAGTACATTCCAATGTTTTGTAAAGTAACCAAAAAAAAACGAAGAAAAATGCCAACTCTTTGCTGGTGATTATGTTAATCACATGATAACTAAGTGTAATGGTAAGTAGTACAAGTGGGTAGCGATTATTTATCTCTTCTTTCTTGGGGTTTAAGTAGCGAATTTGTAATATTTTTTCCAACAAAACAAAAGGTGTTTACAAAATATGAAAATTTCATCATGTACACTTGAGAGGGGGAAGGAATCCCCAAAAAAAATTTTGAAAATCAAGTGGTGCGAAAAATGTGGCCTTAAGATAAAAGGTGCACATTTTCCATCTTATATCATCGGAAAGGTATGAAGCTGAAAAAAATACGGATTTATGTTGATAATATTTGAAATGAATTTTTTGCAATTTTTCAAAAAAATCAAAAAAAGTTACCATTTTAGTAGGGGCCTATGGGAAGACATGGGCATGCATATGTAATTATGTGTCATAAACTATAGTACCCATAAGGAATCTTAAATACGATTCCGTTGGATAATATCGTTAAAATCCTCAAAATACTGAATTGAGGGTGGAACAGTTATACGGGGACTATACAGGGTGAGATAAAAAAAACTGCAACAAAGGCAAAATCCATATATTTTACTTTTTTTTTAATTTTGTTGAATGGAAGCTAAAAATGTCGAAAATAGCATCAAATTTTAGAATAAGTTTAGATTTGTTAAAATTGGTCACCTTTCGCACGCATTATGGCCTTCAAACGGCCAATGATACCGTCACACGCTGCCCGAATGTTGCTCTGCGGTATTTTGGCCCATTCCCGGCTAAGAGCTTGCTTGAGGGGATCGACACTTTGGTATTTTTTAGTGCCAACCTTGCTTTCCAAAATACTCCAGACACAATAGTCCAATGGATTGGTATCCGGAGATTTTGGTGTCCATTCTGCGCTGGAAATGAAGCGAGGAACCTCATTTTGAAACCATTCTTGAGTGGCGCATGCTGAGTGCGATGGTGCTGAGTTGGAATGTCCAAGGCCTGCGGCAAAAATGTTTGCGTGCCCAAGGCTTTAATACACCATCCAGAATATTTTCGCAATAATATTCGGCATTTATTCTGATGCCACGGTCGATTAATACGAGAGGAAAGCGACCATAGGCTGTTATTTCGGCCTACAACATCATCATGGCCGGCGCTTGAGTCCTGGTGGCCAACCAAAGGTTGAACACTTGGCAAGTAAACACGATCATTTTGTTTGATTACAAACTCCTGGACAGCAAATGTTTTCTCATCGGAGAAAACCAAATTCGGCAGTTCACCACTTTAGGCCAAGCGATGCAACTCTTTAGCTCTTTTGAGTCTATTTTCTTTCTGTTGCGGTGTAAGTTGCACTTTTTGGAATTTCAATGGCTTTACCCCGAGCTCATTTTTCAATATTTGCCGAATGGAATATTGCGATATGTTCAGCTCATGAGCCATTTTTCGGACACTGCGACGCAGGTTTCGATCAAGTCGCTTCTTTACTTTTCGAACCATTTCTGCGGATGTTTCTGTTTTCTTCCGTCCACTTCCTTGACGTCGGGCTACGCTACCAGTATCACGGTAACGAGCGATGGTATGAGACACAAAAGATTTATTCACATTTAAATGCTGAAGTGCTCCAACGATAGCCACTTGTAGTTCTCCAGCCAAATCACACTATCACGCTTGAATTCGATCACGAATTACTTTTTTTAGAAAAATTCCCACCAAAACGCTTTTGTACGCTTGTAAACAATATAATGAGCTGTCTCTGGAATAATTTTAACAGCTGTCGGACGAGTGACTTAGAAATGACAGTAGTCTGAAATTGGTTGCAGTTTTTTTTTTTCATCTCACCCTGTATAGGGGTATATA